GGCTTTGGTAAGTGTCTTGCATTTGTAGCACCCCTCTCTTCCTGTTTTTTAAACCTTTAGTCTTTTCTAAAATGAAAACAGTCCATGATAGTGGGAGTGCTTACCCTTTCCACTGGGAACTGTTCAGAATCAAAAGGGGCAGCAATCCACGAACTTCGGCTGACCTTGGTAGATAGCCAAAATGTATACTTCCCACCCAGCTTACCCTTCCCCTTGAGAGGGAGGACCTTGTCTAGCCAGGGTAGGTGATGCAGGACTACACAGACAAATCCCCCTCCCTTTTGCTTGTAAGAAGCAGTGTCCCCTCTTGCTAAGCTCTGTGGGTTGGCTACCACTATCTGGCTCATGTGCTCTGCCCCCAAAGTGCTCCAAATATTTATTCCAGTGAAATTATATCTTGACCTTTCTGAGGGCAATTTGCGCTATTTGGATTAAAAAAATATATATTACAGTATGTAATTAAAATAAACACCGGTAAAAAAAGAAAAGAAAAACCAAAGCAGCAGCAGATAGATATGAACTAAAATATTGTGATTAAAAACCAAGTGATGATTTCTCTTTAGCACAGATGTAGGTGTCTAGATATTTGCAGAATGTTGCTAAAACATCCAGAGGTAACCTTAGTTGTGCCAGCTTGCTAAGTGGTTCTGGAATACTCAAGGCTTGTTCTTCATATGCCCCTTTCTACAGGAATCGTCCGAGGGGTGGACACAGACAAGAAGCTGTACCACATTCTGACACCAGTAGCGCCACAGAACTTGCGATTTGTGAATTGCTTACTGATTGGAAGTATCCCTATTCCTAATTGCATCTTCCTAAACCAAGTAAGGAATCTTCCTTCTATTTATCCTGAACCTGCTGCCAGCCAGAGCTATTGGAGAATCTGAGTTTTAATATTCAGAGGGAGAAAGCAATTTCTCACCCTGCCCCCATTTCTTTCCACGGTTCACAAATTCTTACTGGGTAATGCTCACTCTGCTCCTAGTGTCCTATTGGCCTTATAACCTTAGAGTCTGATAGATATGTTTGGTGTTTTGTTTTTTAAACCCAATGAGTCTCTTGCTGGCATTTGACACGTGTGTGTGTGTGTGTGTCAGATACAAGGTGTCCTATAACACTGTCTTTTCTTTGTCAGGTGGGGATTGAAGGGGAGATACCCTATGTCACGTCGGAGTATAACTATGACATTTCAGGTGCTGGGAAATTGAAATTGAAAAAGCATCTTAAGAGGAGAGAACATATGCAGCCATGAGCTCCAATCTAAATCCTCCTCTGCAGGAACTGATCAGCTCAGGAGACATGGCATGTTCTCAGGGGACCTTCCACAGGAGACCAGTTACAATTTCCACGGCTGAGAGTGTCATGCTGATCCACTGTCATGTTTTATTCATTTGTGTGTTTTCTTTGCGTCCTGAAAAATTAAACTTTTGATATAAACTGCCTTTATGCCACATTCTTTGAGGTCCTTGGTGCAGGATTCACCAAACAGTGGCCCTTCTGAGTGTGGGTGAAATGATGCTTCTTTGCTGTCCCACCACTCTTGTTGTCATGTGCTGGCATGTGTTTCAGTTTTCAAGAGTCTGCAGCAATTTGGTATTTACTTTTCCTCTCTTTTCTGTGAAATTTGGTTTAGGCTACCAAAGATGTGGTGGTGGTGAATATCTGGTTTCCAACAAGAAATGACCAGGCTGCAGTTGCTGCCTGCAGAGGGAGCTCCAATCGCTCTTGCAGTGCAGTGAGCTTGAATGTTCTGGGTGCAGCCTTAACAGCCTTTTACCAAACCGCTCCGTGCTGAGAGGACTCTTGGCACAGGCCACCTGGCTTCCTGAAGATGCTGTAGCTGCTGCTGCTGCTGCTTTTGAGTCCCTTATTGTATTTGGAGAAGATTCAAGGGAGCCAGGCTATTTTCATTGAAACAATGCTTGGCCCAGGCCAGAGACCCTATTGATCCAAAGCTGCACTGCAGGAAAGGGATATACTGCTGAGTCGGCTTGGTTTTTCTCAGGCTGTGTAACATCCTTTGCCTACCTGGGCTCCTTTGGTTGTTTTGGACTACAATTCCCATCAGCCCCAGCCAGCACAGCCATGCTGGCTGGAGCCATTGAGACTTGTAGTCCATCGTAGTCTCTGTTTTTTCTCTTAAGATCTAGCAATTCAGTCTCATTTCAGTGCTCATCCTTTGGGCCAGGGAACTATGCCTCACACAAGCTACTTTGATTTTTTCTAATCTAATGGTTTTAAGGAGCTAGCTGCAGACAAAATGTGGTGGAGATCATGTTGCTCAAGCTGCCTGATCGACTTACCTAAAGTCCTCTGGTTCTTGAACTTGCAGTTTTGAAATCCTAGATTTTGATCAAGAAGTTGGCCTTTGTGTGAACAGGCATCAGTGCACAGCTGGATGCAGTCATCTACAGTGGTACCTCGGGTTACAGACGCTTCAGGTTACAGACACTTCAGGTTAAAGACTCTGGTAACCCAGAAGTATTACCTCAGGTTAAGAACTTTGCTTCAGGATGAGAACAGAAATCATGCGGTGGCAGCGCAGCGGCAGCGGCAGCGGGAGGCCCCATTAGCTAAAATGGTGTCAGGTTAAGAACAGTTTCAGGTTAAGAACAGACCTCCGGAACAAATTAAGTTTCTTAACCTGAGGTACCACTGTATACCTTTTGGATAGGGATGAGGAACTTACAGTTTTTAAGATGTTGTATTAGCCAATGATAATAGGATGCAGAGGACTCAACAGCAGCAGCATTATTTATTAAATTTATGTTGTCTTCCACTTTTGACTAGAGCATCTTCATTCCTTCTGATAACATGGGCTCTACTCCGTGAAAGCTTAGGCTACAATAAATCTGCTAGTCTTCAAAACAAACCCTCTGGAAAGCACTGATTCTGGATCCCATATTATGTGAAACAAAGAGTCTTGTTGAAACTTAGGTACCAATAAATCTATTACAGTGTTCGAAACAGAGATATGAAAGCTAGGAGCTAAATGGTACCTTAAACCTAGGTTACAGGTGCAGCAACAGAATGTCTAGGCCCAGTTTTTTTTATATAACAAGAATGCAAGGCTGAAAATGAATGAACTGCAGCTAAAATATGTTCATTTTTCATATGGTCTAGTCCTTCCCCTGCCCACCTCCCTAATTTTCTTAAAAGGGTCTCTTCCCCAGTCTTCAGAGAGTAGCTAGAAGTGGAGAGGTAGAAAGAGCTCCTCCTTTCCTTCCGCTCTGCTGTTTTAATCTGAAATCTTAGGTACAATACTGCACCCAGAACTCAGAAACTACTTGCACTAATGAAATTCCCTGTCGCAAAATGCGCCTAGAACAATGGTTTCTAGCACTGATCTTTGGTTTTGAGCACTGATCTATCATGGCTCAAGCTTTCATGCAACAGGGTGTGCTTCATCAGATGCCTAAATTGAAAGGCATATGTGTAGCATATGGGTAGGTGGGGGAATGGAAGGAAGTGAAGTCAGAGAGGAACGAAATGTGAAACAAGTCAGTGATAAAAGCAAATTACATTGATGATGGGCATAAACGTCAATTTCTGTTGAAAGTTTCTCACACACCCCCCATTGTTAAATTTACTTCTCCACATTTCTTCAGCAGTTTTTTTTTAATTATTTTTAAAGATCCTCACGAAAATTCATCAGCATTTTAGTGCAGATTTCTTCTAGGAAATTCATTTTCATTTGCGGTTTTGACTAAATGCACACTTTTGCAAGCTGTTTCCCTGATATCATTTGTGAATTTTATTTTCACTAGTATATGCCTTTTAAAACACACATTTTCCCCTAAGATATATGCATTTTTGTTCATATTGTTTGGAAAACTGCAAACTGAAAAATTTGATAAGTGCAGCTTTCGTGGTGCAAATTAAGCAGTTTCTCATTAAAGTGCAATTTTCCCTTCATCTCTGGTGACAGCAGAGAAACCCTGGTGATTGATAAGGTAATTGACACATGTAGTGTAGTGATAAAAACAAACACCCTTTTGGGTTGTATCCAGCTAAATTCTAGTTGGAGTAAACCCATTGAAACCAACAGCCTTAAGGTTAGCCATATTGATTAATTCCAATAGGTCTACTTGGCAGTATGGCTCCAACCCTTCATCCTGATTTGGTTCACAAGTTGATAGCCTAGGACCTCTTGACGAATTGCAATCCAGCCGTTTTCTGCTGCTGTCTCCCATTTGAAGTTCTGACGATAGAAATTATTTTGTACTGCGTTAAGATTGGTAACGGAGTGTCCTGGAATTGCTGCTTTTCCTGTTCAATACGTACCATGTGAAACAGCATCTGATGTATTCTATTTACAAATTGTCCCAGCTCAGATCTCCCTTGGGGTGGGAGAATTTACTATTCAAGTCTACAAACAGCTACCTTAAAGCCACTTTTAAGTAATTCAGAGAGACCACAGGAAATCCATTCCTTCATCCCCATTTAACTATTCCTTTTTGTGTGAGAGCAACCTACGGGGAAAAGATGAACTTTACCAGTTTTTGTTTTCTTGAAATGGGAGGGCTTTGTGTTGGGGTTCGCAACCCGGGGCATTCTCATTGGCTGAGGCCTGGATACGTCACGCCGTTGGCAGCCGAAAGAGTTAAAGTGTTAGCTTAATGTGTTCTTAATTCTCCCCATATGGCCAAGTCTGGCTGCACAGGAAAAGCTTTGGCTGACAATCTACCCTGAACAGTGGCTAGGGTAAATATGGACGCCATCTGTGCAGTGCTTTAGACGGGTGGGGAGGGGATTGGAAATCACATATGAAATATCAGGGTCTGAGGCAGCCAAAGTTTTAAATGTATCTTATCAGAGACAGAAAAGCACAGATGTCCATAGGCAAAAGGCAGGCACCCCTCTGCCTGTGGAACGAGCTGCACAAGCCTTTGAATCTGAAATAATCGGGCACCGGGGTGGGGTGGGGGAGATGAAATCAGGGGTGCGGTGGTGCTTCCCTTAGTTGGTTCTGAGTAGCTGGTTGCTGTAGCAACCGGTCCTGCCTGCCTGATGCTCAGTGGCCTGTGCCTTGAGCTTTTCTAAGGGACTTTGCTTCGCTGGCTGATTTGTTTGCATGGCGGGTTGTGGGTAAGAGAGTGAGAGCTAAATCCAGTGCAATAAAATAAACCGGGCAGGCTCGGAGGAGTAGCAAAACTGAGCCGTGGAATAAAGCTTTGGAAGTTCTTCCCTCCCCCCCACCTGGTGGGCACCAAGGCTGGAGAGACGGCTTGGTTGCCGAGTTCGTTTTCGGTGGGGGTGGAGGTGTGTGGCCGCCTGCCAGGAAGGGGGAAGGCCCAGAAGCGGGAATCCAGACGGCGAAGGCACATGAAATGGACAACCCTAGGAAGCCGGTGGTAAAATATACAACGCCCAAGGGAGGCTCTCGGCTCTGGAAAGAAAGAAACGTGGAGGAGGCCAAGAGGCGCATACTTTGCTCTCGCCGTCCGAGTGGAAAAGCTTGAGCGGTGGGAGTCTGGCTGCCGAGCACCAGGGCTTTCTGACTCCCTTCCTGAAGGGTGCAGAGCAGCGCTGAGCCCCTTTCTGTTTTGATCTCTTCGCTTTGTGGTGCGGTGACTGCTTCTGCTCTCTGGACTGCTGTCTGCCCACCCACCCACCCACTGCTCCCCCTGGGACTCTGGCTCCGCGAGAGGCAAGGGGATGAACTCGGTCCTGACCAAGTATGGCTCCCCACCTCGCACCTGGCTCAACCTGCGCTTGGGAACAAGTAAGTGGTAACAGTCATGAAATAGGCTTGGGGTGGGGGGAGATCTGCTGCTTCGGGACAGTTAGATGCAGCCTGGTGTTTTGTGACTGTAAGGTCTCTGCAGCCTGGAATGGGTCTTCCATGTTCAGGAGCAGTCTACACCTGAAATAACTGGTGCTACGGGCAAACGGGAAGGCTCTTCCTTTCATGCCTGGCTGGTGGGTTTTATTGAGATATCTTGGTGGGCCCTGCAGGAAATGGGTTGTGGGGCTCCATGGGGCCTTTTGTCTCATCCAGCAGGGCTGCCCCTTGAGTTCTTTACTGCCAGTTCGGGTTTTCTTCTGCCATGTACGCCACATCACTAACATGCACAAGGGGGCACAGTGCCATAGTTTAAACGTGTCTTGAGCTCCTTGCAGGTGATGATATTGCTTCTCGGACCCCAAACGGAGCAGTGAGAGACTCTAGGGGTGCCTGTGCTTACCCAGGGTTTGGTTTCTTGGCATGAAGGTCAACAGAGACTGGTGTCATTAGGATGTATGGTTTTATTTGCACGTATCTACAACCTGAGCATAGGATGGAGGGGCACATTAACTCCCAAACAGATCTTGCTTCCCCATTAGGGTCCCAAGGTAGCCCCAAGTCACAGCTTTGGGTCCAGCACAGAGCAAGGCATGCCTCTGCATCTCCAGCTTACAGCACAGCCAAACAACACAACCTCTTGTCTCTTGTTCTTCTACCTTACAAGATGATGTCACTTCCAGCTAGGTGATGGAGCTTGCCCCCATTTGTCTCTATGACAACAGGACAACCTCTTTCTAATATAAATGGCAGCACTCAATCATTGCCATAACAATGAATCGGGTTGGGCTGTTTTCCTCTTATAGATTCTAGCCTCACCTATACAGGATCACAGGTTTGGAAGGGGCCCATGGGTATCATACACACTGACCCCTCTAAAATTGTAGCAATATCCTTTGGGACCCATCCAAAGGCCTAGCTGTCCATCATCCATCCTCTTACACTGTGGCCAAACAGATGATTCTGGAAAGCCTGCAAGCCTGAGTGTAACAGCAGACTCCTCACTTGCGATTCCAAGCAGCTGGTATTCACGGGTATTCCGCCTCCTGCCCTGGAGGAAGCATAAGGCCTTTTTGACTAGCCTTTGATAGCCCCATCCGCCAGGTATTTGTGTAATCACCTTAATAAAGTCATCCAAGTACTTCATGTTGTCCTGAATATTCTTCTTCCTCAGATGACCCTGCTGGGTTCTAGTTTTATTAGAGAGGAAGAAAAACTGTTCACCTCGTATCTAATTTTATACACCTCTATCATGGGTCCCTCCTTTACTTATCCTGTGTTCCTATGACAAAAGTTGTGGCCAAAATCAGTTTCTTTTCTCACTGGAGGGGAGAGGGCTAAAGACCCATTTGCCTGGGTTTCTGCTTGGGCAGGCCAGTGGCAAGCTTATCTCACTAGCACTTCAGCCTTGCTCTGGGAAAACAACAGTGTACAGTGGCCAATGAAAACTATAGACTCTGCTGAGATCCCTGTAACTCCCAAGAATGCAGCCATCCTATTTAGCACTACTGACCAGCAGTGGCTCCCGAGGGGTCCGGATGAGACCCAGTGCCCCCCTACCCCGCATAAACATCGAGTTCCCTCCTTTACGTATGAAACCAAGTATGTGGCTTTTGATAATGCAGCAATTCTGAGCCAGAAGTGGGAGAGAACTGGTGATTTTATAACCCTGGCTACCTCTTTGGCAACTAGGACAGACAAAACAAACTGTTCTGAGCATTCCCCCCCCCTCCTAAAATAAGCAAAGGAGACACTGATAAATTAGCCAGCTGGAAAAGGGTTCACCCTGCCCGCTTTATTCTCCCAAATCATTTCCTTCCCTATTATAGGGAAATGCTGCTCGTTTTTGTGCCTCTCAGGAATGAAGCAGTCCTTAAATGTTTTCATTAGCTGTCTTCTTCTTCTTCTTCTTCTTCTCTCTACCCACTCCCTTCTTCTCTCAGACCCAAGAAATGTTGGTGATCAAGGCAGGGAATCCAGGTGGCACCCCCTTCCCCTTGCACTGCTGAACCCGGGGCAAAAGCAAGAGGCAACATCTCCCCATTTTGAGATGCCAGGGAACGTCTCAAGAGCACCATTCTCCACCCAGGGCTGCATTCAGTCACGGGGGAAATTCCCTTAGTTTTCCTGATTACAGCGGTAGAGCTTCTGTCCCGTTTTCTAACATTCCTTTCACGCTGCAGTACCCATTGTGTTCTGCAACGGTGGCTTTCAGACCAAATATACCAGCATGCGGTGCTAAATTTCGTTCACGCCAGTGGGCATGGTGTGGCACAATGATGGCTCTGCCATTGGACAATGTCCCTCCCCACTTTTCACACATGCCTGCTCCTCTTCTCTCCCCCCCCCTGCAAGATTCCCCACCCCCGTGAAAATTGCAGGAAAGAAATGTATAACCTCCCCAAATCTCGTCCCTTTACTCTCATGATTTTCCAAGGTTCAAGGCGCTGCAGACGGATTAATTTTTTTCCTGGAACCAAATCGCACGGAAATTAGCACTAGACATGCCCTAGGTTCCATTAGTTTTCTGGAAAAGGCTTTTAGATTGTGTGAAAGCTGAAATATAATGCAGACATTTTGGACAAGAAATGGAAATGGAACACAGTGCAGCCCAGACCTGCCTCGGCTAGGCGAACGTCCCAAGGACTGGCCAATGAGCAGCCCAGCCATTCCCCTGAATGAAGCAGCTCCCTCAAGCAATTAGATCCTGTGGGTTGAGGAGCCCGCCCCCCCAAGCTATTAAAGGAGCTGTGGCCCTGCTGGCTTCAAGAGGGGTGGAAGATGCCATCCTATTGCCAGAGCTGAGAAAAGATTGAATTCCTTTCCTACTTAGAATGCAGGGACACCATCTTTCTTTTCCTCAGGACAGTCCTGATCAGTGGTCCCTTTGTAAAGAGCTTCCAGCTCATGGGAAGCTTACGAGGCAAACCATTGGTTCATCTAGCTTAATACTGTTTGCACGGACTGGCAGCTACTCCCCAGGGTTTCAGGGCAGGGAGCCTTCGCCAGCCTAACTGGAGATGCCATTGGAGAACGAATCACAGAATTGTAGTGTTGGGAGGACCCCAAAGGGTCATCTAGCCCAGACCCCTGCAATGAGCCTGGGACCATCTACATTTTTTAAACAGGTGCTCCACTCCCAAGCCAAGGCCCTTCCCTAAATTCTCCTTCCAGTCCGAAATGAGTTTAACATTCCTGCCATTTTGAGTTGCTTAGAATAGAAAAGGCGTTTGTCTTGCCACCAGTGGTGTTAAGATGGACCTGATCCGGTGCCATGTCAGGACACTTGGGAGGGTTTTAAGTGGGGTAGGATGAACCTAAGAAACATCGTTGCTGGTGGCTTCATGGCATCATAGAATGGCAGGGCTGCAAAGGAACGCCAAGGGTCATCTAGACCAACCCCCTTTCGATGCCAGAGCCGCAGATACGAATGTGTGCGTGGGGAAGGGGACCTGTGTTTTGCTTTTTGCCCTGAGAACTTAATCCACACCAGGGCAAAGCCAAGGGCCTGGGTGGTGCTCATCACAACCACAAGAAACATTTTTTTTTTACCTCCCCCTTTTTTATTTTTAACAGGCCAAAAAAGCTTGAGGTTTTTCGCGGTGCGGCTTCTCACGCAAGTTTCCCAGGACCTGGCACTGTTCAGGCAAGCTCTCGTTGCCAACAGCCTCCGCCTCCCCCCCGCCCCCCCGCCCCTTGCACACAGACACTCTGGTTTTAGCACAGCTGGCTTTCTGCTTTTTCTCTGCAAGTGGAAAAAATAGCAGGAGATTTAGAGCAAGCGCTGTGTCCTCCCGAGGAGACGGCTGCCTTAAGGAGCAGAAGAGAGCCAGTGCAGTTGGGTATACAGAGTGTTATCGGGTCTGGACTGGACTGGGGAAACATGCTGAAAGCTCCGGAGGTTATTGAGGCTAAAATATTATCATTCCATGTATGTGTCTCCCACCCCACCCCCTTTCAGGGTGTTGATAGGTATTTAAAGGAATCAGAGATGCAGGCCCGTTATGCAGTAGATGCCTTGGGAACTCATTGCCATTTGATATTGCCATACTCTTTTTTTGGCACCTGCTAGAAACATTTTTTTTTAGACAGGCCTACCCAGAAATTTAGAAAGTTGATGTGAGTTTTAATCTGTTTTCAGTTTGTTATTTTAGCTTTTTGAAAGTCTTAAATTCTTACTGGTAACTATATCTTTTTTGTAAACTTTGAGGTTGTTGTTTTTTACAATCAGGTGGTGTATGAATCTAAATAAATAAATATGATAATGGGTGGCTTTTCATACAATTGTAGAGTTGGAAGGGATGCCAGGGTCATCTAGTCCAACCCCCTGCAATACAGGAATCCTTGACAGATGGCCACCCAACCTCCTTCACAACCCTTCACAATCAAGGCTGCCGGGACCAGAAACAGCCCATCTCTGTGCTCCATCAGGCTTAAAAGTGATGCAATGCCCAGGAGCTGGGTTTTAACATCTGTCTCACACACTTGTGTTCATGGTCAATCAAGATTGACAGGCAGAGAAAAAGAGAGAAAGTGGATTCCAGGAGAGAGAGAGAGAGAGAGAGAGAGAGAGAATGAGAATACAGCAAGGACCAATGCTTGTGGCTTTTTCTCAGTCCTCACAGTGGCCAAAAACGTGCCCCAGTTGACATCGACAACCCTCTCCCCATGAATTTGTCCAATCCTCTTTTAAAGCCATCTAGTTTGGTGTGGCCATCCCTGTCTCCAGTGGGACTGAGTTCCACAGTTTAACTGCATGAAAAAGTCATTTCTCTTGTCTGCCCTGAACCTTCCAACGTTCAGTTTCATTGGACACCCAGGAGGGGCGCTCTGGCTAACTTATTTACGGCCAGCTCCACACCCCTTTCCTTCTGATCAGGGCCCAAAAAACCCCAAAGCCAGCTGAGAATTGTTGCCACCCCACACTGAGCCCCTTGGAGAGAAAGGTGGGGTAGAAATTAAATAAAGAAATAAATGATGTGCTTTTGGGCTGTGAAACTTGACCTCTTAAGTGTGGGCCAAGGAGGCTGGGAGTAGGGGTTCAGTGTGAGGTCAGAGAAGGTGGCTCAGATTGGCTCCCAAAGCATCCTTTACCTTGGACACAACCTTGGACAAGATGACATTTTGGATCCCTTCCAGCTCCTGTGATTCCAGCCCCCACTTCTGGCTTTGCAAGCCATTTGGCTCCATGGACCACTTTTCTCTGTGAGTTCAACCCTCTCCCCTTCTCTGTCTTCCTTTGCTGCTTGATGAGGAATGCCGGGGCCTTGTCAGAGTTTCCATCCATTCGGGCTGAGGTGTTTTAAAAGGCAGGATGGCTGCAGCTTGTTCGTTCCAGGCTACAGTCTGGTGCTCTTGCCTGCCAGGAGGTTCTCCTTCCAGAAACCTTTGCTGAAAGGGGGAGCGGGGGGGGGGCGGTGGCTGAGAGGGAACAGCAAGAATCTGCTTCTCAACGAAGCCCAGCGAAGAACACACAATTCCGATTTCTGTGGTGTGAATTGTACAGAAAGAAGGGGATATCACCAGGTTGGAGCACGGGAGAACTAATAATAATAATAGACTCCGCTAACCCAGAAATAGTACCTTGGGTTAAGAACTTTACCTCAGGAAGAGAACAGAAATCGTGTGGCGGCAGCAGGAGTCCCCATTAGCTAAAGTGGTACCTCAGGTTAAGAACAGTTTCAGGTTAAGAACAGACCTCCAGAACGAATGAAGTTCTTAACCCGAGGTACCACTGCAGAACATCAAACATTAAAAACTTCCCGATACAGGGCTGCCTTCAGATGTCTTCTAAAAGTTGTGTAGTTCTTTATCTCCTTGACATCTGATGGGAGGGGCATTCCACAGGGTGGGTGCCACTGTCAAGAAGGCCCTCTGCCTGGCTCCCCATAGCTTCACTTCTCACGGTGAGGGAACAGGCAGAAGGTCCTTGGAAGAGGACCTCAGTGTCTGGGCTGAGCGATGGGGAGTTGGAGACGCTTCTCATGTGTACAGCCTGAAGGCCAGCCTGGGCAATCATCCTTGCAGAGCTAAGCATGGGGCCTCCATGTTTAGAGGCAGTCTACATGTACAGGGCCGATGCTGGAGGCAAGCAGCAGGGGTGGGCTGTTGCCTCCATAAAGCCCATAGATCAGCGGATGCGCAAAGCCACCTTGGCTTGCCAGTGTGGAAGGACAGGACAATGAGGTAGATGGATCTTCAAGGCTGCTTAATTTTTAGAGGTGGGTAAGAAGCCTTGGGTGTAAGCCGCTCCTCTGCTTCTGCCTAGCAGTTTCTCTTCTATGAGCCAAAAATAAGTTCTGGGTCCATTTTCAAGGGAAAGAAAGAAAGAAAGAAAGAAAGAAAGAAAGAAAGAAAGAAAGAAAGAAAGAGCTATTGGAGACAGGTTGGCCTTTCAGAACAAACACCCGCCTCTGATGCCAAAGAGCATTGTGATTCCTCTGATAGATGAGCCTTGTTTCCAGTGACCTTTGCAAGTTAAATAGAAAAAACGGGATTTAATTAGGCATGTGGAACAAGAGGGGGACTTGGTTGTGCCCAGTCTGTTTGCACAGATCCTTCTCTTTACCTCCCACCTGGGCAGGTGAGTGTGTGCTAGAGTAAAAGGAAAGCAACTTGGTGCATGCAGCTTCTCATCCCTCAGCAAAAGCCCTGGTGCCCCTTTCCTCTCTCCCTCTGCACATTTCCCCATGCCACCCCACCGCCCAGTTTTGTGCCCCCCTCCCTTTGCACATGCATGCTGCCTGTATTTCTGGGCGTGCTGTAGCATTGGGTCGAAAAGGAAAACCAGCTGTAGAATCCAAGTCTGTACAAAACCAGCAAAGGCGAGTTCAATTGCCAAAAACTCATTTTGGGCGGCTGAGTCAACAGATGGGAAAAAAAAGTGGCTGACTTGGAGGAGCATGTCAAATTGTCTGGTGGGCAGCAAGCCAGGTCCATAGAAGAGGGCAGGTCTGTGGGGCAGCCAGCTGGGGTAGGAAGTGTTCTTTCTTTCTTTCTTTCTTTCTTTCTTTCTTTCTTTCTTTCTTTCTTTCTTTCTTTCTTTCCTAGAAGTGGGACGGAAGCCCCCAACCCAGGCCTGTGATGGGAAGCTGGCAGAGGTATAATTTCAGGGAATGGGCTGAGCCTCCTGCAGTTCCACCTTCCTAAAATCCTTCCCTTTAATCTTGACTTTTGAGGATTTATCAGAGCAAGCTTCAAAGAGCCCTCAAACCACATGCCACTTGCAAACCCTGCAGTGTGCTATAAGGCTATTCCGCTCCGCAAAAGGGAAGGGAGGAATCGAGAGAGAGAGAGAGAGAGAGAGAGAGTAGCCTATTCCTTGGGAGAAGCTTTGTAAAAGTTAAAAAGACTTTTGCCTCAGTGGGCATTCCTGCTTCAGAGTGGGGTGTGCATGTGCGAGCTGTGTATGTGAGAGCTGACAAGTGATAAAGACCTTCTTACTAAAAAAAACCCAACAAACAACCCCACAGGGGTGGAACGAAGCGCGGAGTGGCCGAGGTGAGAGGGGACGAGGGAAGAAGCAGGGCAAAGGCTGTTTGCAGGCGAGCCCAGAGAGTGAGATGGTCCAGGATGCCTGTGACAGTGGGGCCATATGGCCAATCCCAACCCAGTTGCTTTGACAGAGTGAAAATGGGCTTCATGATGGGCTTTGCTGTTGGTATGGCAGCAGGTGCACTGTTCGGCACATTTTCTTGTCTCGGGTTTGGCATGAGAGGGCGAGAACTGATGGGTGGTGCTGGCAAAACCATGATGCAGAGTGGTGGAACTTTTGGGACATTTATGGCAATTGGCATGGGAATCCGCTGTTAATGTTACTTTTCTATCACGAAGACCAGTGCCCCTGCAAGTTGGAAGTTCTGCTATGTAGTAGAATAAAAATCTCTGCACCAGGATTGAATAATCCATCAAAATAAGTTTCGGCCTTTATTGCTGTAGCAAGAGTTTGTAAATCTTTTTCTCCATAACAAACGTGGCAGGCAGTGGAGATTTAGAAGCAATGGAATCTCTGTATACAATGAATCTCCGTGGATGTGACCTCAAATAAATGATCAATTATAGGAATCATACCTATTAGAAGTTGTTTTTTAATTGGTATCAAGTGTTTCCTGTGTGGGTATGATTAGTTTATTACAAGATCAGCCATTGTTTATCAAAGGAATCTTCTGTCTGTGATTATGTAAGGCAAATCAGGGAGGCTTGAATTTTTGCAAAAATCCCAAGTTTATGGAGGTGGAATAAAATTGGACGAAAGTGTGTATGCGGGGGGGGGGGGGGAACCCCAACAACCCCACAAGTGTTTAAAATCTAGCCTGGGTGCACTTTGCATGGTTGAATTTACCCAGAAGCAGACCTGCGACATCGGTCCCCATGGGCATTGTGAGCTGCATCGTAGCAAAGAGTGTTGCCAGATTTCAACTGCTTACCATTTGCACTTAAGTTTTCTGCATTTGGTGTGTTTTGTTTTTACCGCTGTCAGTAGTAACATGCGGCTAAACATTTTCTAATAAAACTGACCCAGAGAAGCATATTTAAGGACCTGCGTAGATTTTTCTTTTCTGAAAAGAAAAAAAAAGAAGCATGATGGAATGAGAAAAAAAATGCTCCAAGGAATTCTCTACTGAGTCCTGTATTTGGGGGTACCTTTTATCCTGGCCAATGGGGAAAAAATGTCCCATGAGGTTTTTCAAGCGAAAACTGAGCTAGGGAAACAGAATTCAGTTATTTTCATCTCTCTCCCTCTATTACATGCACACACAACTCATTTGGAGTCATTTACTTATATACATTGGAATTTCAGCTTGGGGTAGGTAGTAAATTGTCACCCCACCCCAAAAAACCCTTTCTATGAAAGTTTTCTAGTTTCTCTAGTCGTCAAAGAAACTAGGCCGAAGATCACACCAGGTTTCCAGTTCCATGATTAGACTAAATTGCAAATGTTACATTCCTTGCTATATACCAAACTGAAGGGCACTTCCCCTATGAGGAAAGGCACTGCTAAAGTGTTTTGGGCGTTGTGGTGGTGGGAATGGCTAAGCACAGGTGGAATATGAAGAAAGATTTAGAAAACTGTACATACTAGAAAAAGAAGTACTACTTCTTGACACTGTGTAACTCTCTGCCACAAGATGTGATGGCCATTGGCTTAGGTTTAGGAGGAAGTATGGTTGATCAACAGCCATGATGTCCTAGGTGGAACCTCCATGTTCAGAGGCAGTCTGCCTCTAAATGAGAGCTCTTGAGATTAATGGCAAGGGAAGACTCTTGCAATCATGCCTGGCTTGTGGCTCTCTGCAAAACTTTGCTGCAGCCCACCATCCTTGCCTGACCTCTGAGACTGCAGGCACAGGTGACAGCTTTTGGCAAGAGGCCGGAAGAATGGCTGATGCAAATCCCGCTGATGTCTCTGTGGTTTTGTTCCCAACAACCCTGTGAGGTAGGTAGGTAGGTAGGTGATGCTGAGAGATGCTGACTAGTCTGTGGTCACATAGTGAGCTACAGGAACCCGCCACCAATTATGCTTGGTCTCGGGTCAGCATTTCTGTTCAGCACTAGACTGTCACTCTTCTGGTAAACAGGTTTTTGTGTGTGCGTCAAAATATTCCTCTCTAATTGGGAGATAAGAAATTGGGGTTCTCATGGGACGCAATGGTGCTCCTTTCTCTCATTATCTCCTGCATCAAATTTAAAATCAGCTGCCTGACTCCCACCTTGGAGACAATGGTTCTCTTCCCATGTATGATTTCAACACTCCTTGTTTCTTTCGAAATCTCATTGTAGGGACAAGACCGCCTTATTTTGGTTGCTTTCCAGCAAGATTTCTTTTTCTTTTTCTTTAATGCCCACCATAAGTCTGTCTTGTATCCTTGGCTGAGATCTCTTTCATAAATGATGGAAAGCGAAATTTGTAAAATGTCTGTAGGAGGCACGAGAAAAAGGCCCTTTGTCCGGCTGGGTGCGCAGAACATTGGTCAGTTTCTTAGAAGCTCTTTGCTCTCCCAGAAACCTCCCGTTTCACCAGGATGAATGAGCCACTTGTCTGTACATCTGCCGGAACCTGCTCCTTAAGGTGCAATCCTGACCGGCTACGGCTCAAGCCGCGGATGGGACTTGGGCTAAAAAATGTTGCGCTCACCACCATCCCAGGCTGGTGAGACAGAGAGAGAGAGGATCTCCCTTTGGGCCACTGAGCTTTAAGGACAAGCTACGCTTCTGGGATTCCTCTATGCAAAATGTTTCTATACTGGAAGAAAAGAGGGGCGTACGAACTGGAGACCCTCCCTGCGGACTTGACAGAGCTGGAATGCACAACAGTGGAGCGCTTTTCGTGGAGTTCAACTCTGGATATCACGCAGGATCTGGAGGGTAGGTCAGGCCGAAAGCTCGAGGGATGAGGTCACCCAGCCTGGCGCTCGCTTCCCAGAGCCAACCCAAAATTATGCAAACAGTTTTAAGAGTCTTAGGCAATTTATTTCCACAATAAGAAGTTGCTTTCTTTCCCCGCTTCCTTTACCTCCCCCTGCCAGGATGCGCCGGGGCTGTTTTATTGCAGGGCAAAAGAGTTTTACAGTTTTAAACAAAAGTGTGAGGTTTGGTAAACAGGCGGCTGAAAATCAAAGTTTGGGTGCTGCTGGGTCCTGCCGACTGTCCAAATATTTGGACAGCAGTTGCAGAAAGGATGAGGATTAGTTCAGAGGCTTGCACACTTTCGGGATGTGGTGCCTGTCTAAATAATAGCAGGAAAAGAGGAAAACAAAGCTTTAAAGAACAATGTGAGCAGAGGAGGAGAATCTTGCTAATCTTGGGGTTTGCTTTTGAGGGGCTGAGCTGATAGACTCAGAGTTGGGACCAAGTTGGATGGGTTTAAAAGAGGGTTGGGCAAATTCATGGAGGGTAAGGCTACAAGCCGTGATGGCTATGCTCTGCCTTCATAGCTGGAGGCAGTAATGCTTCTGAAAACCAGTTGTTGGGAAGAGTTGCTGTTGCACTCAGGTCCTGCTTGCGGGTTTCTCTTTGGGGTGCATCTGGTTGGCCACTGCAAGAAGAGGATGCTGGACTTTGATTGGCCGTTGGCCTGATCCAGACGGGCTCTTCTTGTGTTCTCACAAATGCTGTTGGACTCCTGTCAGCATGGCCAATGGCCAAGGATGATGAGAGATTTATTTATGTATTTCATTTGTGGATTGTGTCTATATCAAAAAGAATTCCAAGTCCAGCACAGATACGGACTGAGATTTAAATTTTCTATAGGTGTTTCCATGGGTGCTCTGAGGACAGCAGAGATGGCGTTTGGCTCATATAGTGAGGGGAAAGAGTTCCAGAGGGCAGGTGCTGCCACACTAAAAGCCTGATTCCCATTCCTGTGGAAAGGTCCTCCTGATGAGACGGTATCTGCCAAGGTCTCCTGCAGAGTTCAGTGATTGGTTGGATCTATCAGGACTGAGACGATATGTTTGGTATCTTGACCCCAAGCTCTAGAGAGGGTCTTTCCCAAACATGGGTCTCCAGCTGTTTTTGAACTGCAATTCCCATAATCTCTGACCACTGGTCCTGCTAGTTAGGGATGATGGGAGTTGTAGTCCAAAAACAGCTAGAGACCAAAGTTTGGGACACCCTGATCTGGAGAGCTTTGCATTACCAGTACCTTGAACCTGGCCTACTACTTAATGGTGGTCCACCAACATCTGGAAGCGACACCATGTTTGACCTTGCACAATCCTTTTTGTGGATCCCGGTTGGTACCTGAAATAGAGTGCTGGCTGTATGTCCTACTTGCACAGGGCAGTCCTCTGTTTTGAAGGGCTGCAGCAGGAGGAGAGTCCTCTGCCTGAAGGTGTCCTCTATTTGAAGTCTGTTCTTTCAAAGTCTGGGTTTAAAGATAAGGAGCCATCAAGAGGGAGAGAAGGGAGGGGGGCCTCTTTGAAGTTGCCCATCTTCAGTGAACAGCACCTGGTCACACGTGTCTCTCTCTCTCTCTCTCTTTCTCTCTCTCTCGCCTGGTATCTGCCTTGGTTAAAGGCATTGCATTTCTTAATTAGATAGCAGCAATATGTTTGTCCCTGATGCTGGTCCTACTCAGAGTACACCCAATGGCATTAGTGGGCATAACTATTGTAATTGCAGGAGCTCAACTCAATAGTTAGCATGATTTCAGGAGATCTACTCTGAGTAGCTGGATGCAGCCTATTATTTGGATGCTTGCTGCTGAACACATAACCTACGGTGTGCAAATTTGCATTCTCTTTTACCTTATTGCATTGTCGTTATTAGTAGTAATATTGAATTTGAACCCCGCCCTTTCACCCCAAGGAGCCTAGGGCAGCAAAGAGGTGCACAATTTAAGAAGCAAAAACAAAAAAAGCAAAAGCTTTATTAAAACAGATCAAAACATTCCAGAATCAATTACAATTAAAAACATGTAAAATAATGTATGTCTGATGGTATTGGTTTTCATTTATGTATAGTTTAGTAATTTTCTTTTTCTTTTTTCTTTTTGTCTGTCGGTTTTTGGTATGTATGTTTGTTGCTTTTTGTATTTTGGTGCAATCTTCAAATAAAGAAAAGTGTTAAAAAACATATGTAAAATCAGTTCCAGTTTTTTTTTTTATTTTTTTAAAAAAACATTCTAAAAGCAGTTTAAAATATTCTTCCATCCAAGGATCTTGGGGTTGCCTGGAACAAGCAATTTAGGGTTCAAGTAGATAAACAGGTACTGCTCCAGCAGGAAGGTAAACGGCATTTCCATGTGCTGCTCTAGTTTCACCAGAAGCGGCTTAGTCATGCTGGCCACATGACCTGGAAGCTGTACGCCAGCTCCCTCGGCCAATAAAGCAAGATGAGCGCCGCAACAGTTAAGTCCAGTCTGGACTGGACTTAACTGGACTTAACTGTCAGGGGTCCTTTAGCTTTACAGTGGTGCCTCGCAAGACGAAAAGAATCCGTTCCGCGATTCTCTTCATCTAGCGGTTTTTTCATCTTGCGAAGCAACCCTATTAGCGGCTAAGCGGATTAGCGCTATTAGCGCTATTAGCGGTTTAGCGGCTATTAAAGGCTTAACGGCTTAGCGGCTAAAAGGCTAT